GAACATCTCAATCAGATTCCCGAGTACTGAGTTCAATGGTCCTGCTGAGATGAGAGTTTCGTCATAAATGAATAACACTCCACCCCTTTGGCCTGTCAGCTAAAAAAAAAATAGATGCATCAGAAATGTGTTCTGAGTATAGTCTAGCATTTTTAAAGGTCTGCAGTGTCAGGATGATGCCATGAAAGGTCAGCTCTAAAAGTGTTACTGAAAATAAGGACATCAAAGATGAAGGAGAGTGAGTTAGTAGCTAACAACCACAATAATATCATGACAATGAATGTCAATGATTAGATAACTGTGGATTTTAAAGTGCCAATGACAATGACTTGGGACTGAGCTTTATTCAGCAGTGATTGCAGAAGGAAATTTGACAGAAAAGCATAAAGGGATGAAACTAGAGAGGAATACAAGGATTAGTTAGAGATGGTGTTTTTTGTGTTTGAACCTGTTGGGATGGGAAGGTCAAGGCAATGCTGAATATGAATTGGAAAATTTATATGAAGTGGTGAAAAGGGTATTTTTACAATGAATGTGGAGGGAGAGAGTAAGATAAGTAAAGATGGATGTGGAGGGATTTGTCAGTGCAGATACTAAAGGAGGAAAGGAATGAGAAACACATGTAGATTTTGGATTGGTACCAAATACATAATCAAATTTCAGAATTTGCTTTTTTTTTAAAATATCAATCTCGTAAAATATTAACAATGTCTAATTAGATTATCAAGAGCAATTAAGGTGTGCTGCAGATCCATGGCAACACAACATAAACAGTTAAGTATGTAGTCTTGCCTTGTTAATCCTGAGCTAATTTAGAAACAGACAGATGGTCTGAGCTTGGATAGATCACCTTTATCATGTAACAAAAACTCAGTTCAGTTCTCGTTCTCAGCTCGGTAAATGATTGAAAGGAGAAGTGGAGTAGAAATTAAATGGGGGAATTAACTGATAACTGCATTACACCCATGGAAATTTTAGGTAATCTGGAGTAAAGGGTAGAAGATGCCTAGTTGAATGAGAAAAATGGATAGGACCAGGAACACCAGTTGTTGTACAAGCAATCCTCACCACTGATGACACTGTTATATGAGCTGTGTGTACTATTGCTCACCATAGAGTAGGTTTGTTGCCACCATCCGCTTTTAGGGATCTAAAGAGCCTGCTTAGTTTGATATGGTAGAGGAAAGCCACATGCTATTCTGAGGAGTTCGTGTTAAACAGGAAAGAGTTTATTTCACATTTGCAATGAAATGCAAGTTACACTGCTATCATAGACGAGGGCTGGAGTTTTCTCCACCTCTGAATGATATGTACTAAAGTGAAAATGTTCAGAAAGTCTTAATGTCGATAATTTATCTTTACTTACCCTGTCTTTTCCTGTTAATACTTGACTTCGATCAGATCAGCCCCTTAAACTTCTAAATTCTAGAGAAAACAGCCTAATTTGTACAGTCTCACCGCATTACTAACTCCATAAGTCCAGGTATCATTCTTGTAGACATATGATATTCTCCCTCAAAGGCCAATATATCCTTCCTAAGGTGTGGTACCTAGTGTAGTGCTAGGGAAGCTGAGGTGAGTTTGGGGGGAAAAAAATCAGTATTGCAGATTTGAGATGATAACCTGAGATATTGAGGGGACAAGAACTTTGAACGACTTGTAAGTGGGTCAGCAACTCCAAACAAACACCTACCATGTGTAAGCACCAGGCCACCCACAAGCCAGACAGAACTGGGTGAGGTTCCAGTAGATGACAGCTAGGTGCAGTGATCATTCATCGACTAAAATTGTTGGTGCTAGCCACCAAAACAGTTGCATTTCTGTTCAGAGGGGCAGATGCAAATTCTGATTGTTTGGTTTAGGTTTGCGTTTGCTTTTAGTGAATATAGATGAATGTTTTGAATTGTTTGAAGTCATGATGGTGCCACATTGAACAACAATAAGATGCTGGACCATAGTAGGTATTGGGTGTCGGGGGGTGTGCGTGGTGGAAGGAGAAAGAGTCGCAGTGACTTAAAGGGTTGTAAGAGGGAAAGTGGTTAAGGACAGGTAAGCTGTGTGGCCTGAAGCTTGCACCATGATTGGTGGTGGGATGTGCAGTTGTATATGTGAGGACATCTCAGCTGGAGACCTTATGTGCTACGAGAGTCACTGAAGGAGAATTCTGGACTGCAAACGCTTGACCAGGTCCATAACTGGGGCTCAAAGATTGCGTAGACATCAGATGCCAGTATATGCTGGAGTGGCGAATACTTTCAGCTGGTGAGGAGGAGAATCTGGTGAGCATTAGATGAGAGCGGAGCCACAGCTAGGTAGTTAGTGATACAGGTTTGGCATTATCATATGAGAAAACTCGCTACGTCTCATGGAGAGAAACCTTCTAAGAAACTCTAGGAAATGATACAGCCAAAATAGGGGAAGAGTTGGCCCTTAGAAAATCATATTACAATTAGGTGAATCAATGGGGAAACCAATACATGTAGAAGATGAGAGCTGACCGAAAAATAAAATAGAAAATACTTAGCAGGTCTAGGAATAATATGAACTTGTCAACTTTGGCAGAATGGAGAGCAAATGAAAATCTTCAAATAGAGATACAGAGTATTTTAGAATGCAGATGAATCTAGGAATCACAAACTGCATGTATTAACAGCAACTAATGAAAGTGATAAATGAAATGTTGGCCTGTGTTGCAAGAAAGATAGCATTTTAAACAAGGAAAGTCTTGTTTCAACCATAGAGTGTCGATGAGACCTTGGCTAGAGTACTGCATACAAATTTGTTTCTATACTCAAGGATTGGAAAAACTGGAATTGGAGACAATACAAAGATGATTCACTAGGGTGCGGCATGGAGAAAGGTTATGCAGGTATGGTCTGCACTTAGTGGACTTCAGAAGAAATAAGAGGTGATTTCATTAAATGACTAAGGGAGCTTGACAGGTTAGACCCTAGGGTGGAATTTTCCCAGCCATGGAGTGACAAGGAGGGACAATAATTGAGTAAGTTAGTCCTAGAAGGATGGTCACCCCTTCCCACCAGCTCACCAGTTGAGTTCTGGATTAGAAGTCCATGTGGACTTTCTAGACCCACCTTCAATTAAGGCCTTGTGTGGTCAATTAATGGCCACTAAAGGGCCTCAACTTGCCTCCTCCCTCATTGCCTGCTGGGAAGGCAGGTGAGAAAGGAGGCTAGTTGCCTCCCTAAGAAACCATGGAAACCTAGCTGCTGGTATGGGGATCCTCTAATTTCCCTGATCTTGAGCAATTTGGAGCACAGTTAGCAGGGAAGAGGGTCACCTCTGAAAGTCAAGTCTCTGTTCCTGCCCGTGAGTCTTCAGCATCTCTCTCTTTGCAGCCCTTCTCCTTGCAACCCCTCCCCTTGCAACAAGGTGAAAATAATCAGTGGCATCTATATGATGATGTGGAAAATTGTTCAGGTATGTTCTGTGCACATAAATGCAGGTCACATCCAACATGGCTAATTACCACCCCATCAGCCTACTCTCAATCATTTAGTAAGTGATGGAAGGTATTGTCAACAGTGCTATTACGTGGCATTTGTAAAGGAATAATCTGTGTACTCATGTTCAGTTTGGGTTCTGCCAGGGCCACTCTGCTCCCAATCTATTGCAACCTTGTACTGAACATGGACAGAAGAGAGTTGAAAGTGACTGCCCTTGACATCAAGGCAGCATTTGACTTAGGACAGCATCAAGGAGCCCTAGTAAAACTGCAGTGAATGGGAATGACTCTCTGCTGGTTGAGCACATACTCAGCTCAAAGGAAGATGATTGTGGCTGTTGAAAGTCTATCTTCTCCTTTCCAGAACATCACTGCAAGACTACGTCAGGGTAGTCCCAACTATTTTCAACTACTACTTCAATGACCTTCTCTTCATCATTAGTTCAGAAGTGGAAGATCTTTGCTGATGATTGAAAAGTGCACAGTCTATGTACGACAGCAGCAGCTTATACTACCCAGAAGATACATTGCAGTAATTCATTACATCTCTTTTGACAACATCCTCCAAACCTGTAACCTCTGCTGTCTAGAAATACTTGAGAACATTACCAGCAGCAAGTTCCACTCAAAGTCATATAACCATCCTGACCTGGAATTATATTGCTATTTCTTCATTGTTGCTAGGTCTTAATTCCTGGAACTCCCTAACTAGCAGAACTGTGGGTATCCCCACAATGAAGGGCTGCAGTTGTTTAAGAAGGAAGCTCACTCCCACCTTATCTTGGGCAATTAGGAATTGGCAATAAATGCTAGCAACATTAGTTTTTTTTTATTTGTTCATGGGAATGTTTATCTTTTTAACTGCTGGATGCGCTGAGAAACAGGCGTTGATTGCTGTATAGGACCCAGAAGCCTGGAACTCTCTTAATCAACTGATTGACATGTGACAGGTTGTGTTATCTCAACAGTAGTGTGTTAGTCAGTACCTAACATGCACCACCCCACCCCATCCAACTCCCAGACTTGGGAGCAAAAATGGGAATATTTCACCCCTCGAATGTTTTTTGGGAGAATCTAGAATCAGGGAGACAATTTGAAGATAAGGATGTTCCCATTTTTGGACCAAAACTAAGCGAAATTTCTTCTGAGGATCATTAGTTCATAAAGTTCTTAAGCGAGAGAGCAGTGGAGGCTCAGACATTGAATACATTCAATCTTGAGATGGACAGATTTTTGTTCCTCTGTAGAAGTGACAACTGTGGGGAGGAGGGAGAAAAATGGAGAAAATGCATAGTGACATCACCATGGTCTTACTGAATGGCAGGACTACTTAAGGGGCCAAATAGCCCACTTCACCTATTTCTTAATCTTGTTTTAAACATTGTCAGTAGTTTATACACATTATAGTTCTTTGCATTACATATGGTACAACATTTTAAGAATCTAAAATGTGCAAAGTGATAATAGAAGTTACAATACCTACCTGTACATTCTATGTAATTGACCCTTGATGAATTTATTTTACCTTTGTTTTCAGGCCATGTTTAGCCTCTGTATGGTGGAGAGTGTGGCTGAAGAGGTGAGCCTACATGGAGTGACCAGCCTGGGTCTGAAACAAGCTCTCGATTTTGCATATACAGGCCAGGTACAGATTGTTTGCTTTGTAAGGATAAAATCATAGTTATTCAGTTGAATCCTTGTTTGGAATTAATTAATTTAAAACTAATAAATGGCAAGTTTGTAATAAGGAAACATATGTTTAGCTCAGTTGGAATGTTGTTTCGCAGGAAATTGTAACTCCTTGCTGTGTTATGAGTATTTCCCTGAGCCAATTGTGTTCAAATAACTTATCAAACTCACATTGCAATGTGTGAGGAAATGAGCCATAACAATTTCTGACTCTGCGTAATCACTCGCTTTCCATTATCTGTAGTTTGCATTCACTGGTTAAAATAAAACTTTATCAGATGCTGAAAGTCTTAAAAAAAAACAAAAAAAATACTGCAAATACTCAGATCTGGAAGCATCTGTGGAGAGATAAAGAGTTAATGTCCAATATGGTGAGTGTATGTTCACGACAATATTGCATGAAATGGAATATAAACGTGAATTAAGAATGTGAATATGAAGTGGAGGGGAAGAGTGTTTGGTGATGACATACAGGAGGTGGCAAAATGGCAAGGTTGCAATGACAATGAAAGAACTGGGAGAAAGTATCTCTGTTGCGTTTCTGATCATGTAATTTCCAAGTTTTCCCTTTTGCTAAACAAGATTTTTCCTCAGAGGCTGAGATGTCCTCAACCGTATCTGACTCATTGTTCTGCACTTCTGCTGTCTCCCTTCTCTCCAAAAACAGTGACAAGTTTCCCTTCATCTTCCCTTTCCACCTCACTGGCATCTACATTGAGGATCATCCACCACCATTTCTGCCATTTCCAGAATGGTGCCAACACAAAATACCTCTTAACTCCTCCGCTTTTGGCATTCTAAAGGGTCTACAACATCTTAACACTGCTCAGTCACCCCCAACACTTCATTGCCTTCTTACAGCTCCTTTTTGTGCCATTATAGGAGATATAACTTCTGCCTTTTCACCTCTCTCTTCACTGTTCAAGGACCCAACACCCATTTCAGTTGAGGGAGTGATTTACTTTTATTTTTTTTAACTTGGTATACTGAATACACTCAATGCAGTCACCTCTACATTGTCGTGTTCACTAATATCCTTCATAAAAGGAAATCTGCCATCCTCACCTGGTTTAAGTACCAAAATTGGGAGAGCTGTCTCTCAGACTAGTCACGCAACAGTCTGATATAATCAAACTCACAGAATCATACAATATTCTAGACACTGCCATTACCATCCCTGGATATGTCCTGTCCCACTGGCAGGACAGAACCTGCTGAAGTGGTAGCACAGTAGTATACAATCAGGAAGGAGTTGCTCTGAGGGTCCTCAATATTGACTCCAGACCCCACAAAGTCTCATGACATAAGTTTAAACATGGCAAAGGAAACCTCTGGTTGAATACCACAACCATTCTCCCTTGGCTGATAAATCCGTACTCTTCTTTGTTGACCAACACTTGGGAGGAAACACAGAGAGTGTCAAGGATACAAGATGTACTCTGGATGGGGGTTTCAATGTCCACCACCAAGCATGGATCAGTGGCCCCACTACTGATAGAGTTGGTCGGTTCCTAAAGGTTACAGCTGCTAGATTGGGTATTCAGGTGGTGTGGGAACCAACAAGAGGGTTAACATGCTTGACCTCATTCTCAATCTGTCTGCTGCAGGTGCATCTGTCCATGACAGTATCGGTAAGAGTGATCACAATCTGCAACATCGTGACCTGGCACATCTCTCACTCTGCCATTGCCATCAAGCTAGGGGAACAACCCTGGTTCAATGGAGAGTGCAGGAGGGCATGCCAGGAGCAGCACCAGCATACCTAAAAATGATGTGTCAACTTGGTGAAACTATCAAACAAGACTAACTAAGAACAAAAATTCCAAAAAACAATATGACACAGGAACAGGCCCTTTAGCTCTCCAAGCCTTCGCTGACACATTTTGCCCTTCCATACTAAAACTGTCTTCACTTCCAGAGTCCGTATCCTGCTATTCCCTTCCTATTTATGTATTCATCCAGGTGTTTCTTGAATGCTGCTATTGTGTCTGCTTCCACCACCTCCTCTGGAAGCGCATTTCAGACAATCAACACCCTTTGTGTGACAAACACGTCTCGCACATCTCTTTTAAGTTGCACACCCCCAGAACCTTGAACCTGTGTCCCCTAGTAATTAAACCCTCCAGCCTAGAAAAGAACCTCATATTTTCCACACTATCCATGCCATTCACAATCTTTTAAACTTCCAATAGGTTGCTGTCAACCTGCTGTGTTCCAATGAAAACAAACCCAGTCTATCCAACCTTTCTTCACAGCTAAAATCCCCCATACCAAGCAACATCCTGGTAAACATCTTCAGTACCCTGTCCAAAGCTTTCACATTCTTCTGGTAGTGTGGTGACCAGAACTGTACACAATATTCCAGGTGTGGCCTAACTAAAAGTTCTGTAAAGCTGCAGCATAACTTGCCTGTTTTTATACTCTGTGCCCTTTCCAATGAAGGCAAGCATGCCAGAAGCCTTTTTTTACTGCCTTATCTACCAGCACTGCCAGTTTGTGATCTGTGGACCTGTACACCCAGATCCCTCTGCATATTAACACTCCTAAGGGTTCTGTCATTCACTGTATAATTTCCATCTGTACTTGACCTTCCAAAATGCATCACCTCATGTTTACCAAATTAAACTCCATTTGCCGTTTTTCTGCCCATGCCCCCAACTGATCTATGTCCTGCTGTATCCTCTGACAACCTTCCTCACTATCCGCAACTCCACCAATCTTTGTATCATCTGCACATTTACTAATTGGCCCATGCACGTTTTCCTCCAAATCAAATGATTTATGTAGACCATGAAGTGCAGAGGTCGCAGCACTGATCCCTGTAGAACACCACTAGTCACATCCCTCCATTCCAAAGAGCATATTTCCACGGCTACCCTCTGTCTCCTATGACAGACTCAGTCCTGTGTCCATCTTGCCAGCTCACCCTTGATACCATGTGATGTTAACTGTTGTACCAGTTTGCCAAGATGGACCTTGTCAAAGGCTTTACTGAAGTCCATGTAGACAACATCAACTGCTCTTCGTTCAACCATCTTCATCACCATCTCAAAAAACTTGATCAAGTTAGCGAGGCACAACACCGCACCCCCACCCCCCACCCCCCGCATAAAACCATGCTGTCTATTGCCATCAGTTCATTTGCTTCTAATTGCATATAGATCTTGTCCCCGAGAATTTTTTTCAATAATTTCCCTACCACTGACGTGAGGTTCACAGGCCTGTAATTTCCTGGATTATCCCTGTACCCTTCTTAAACAATGGGACAACATTGGCTATTCTCCAGTCCTCTGGGACCTCCGCTGTGGCCAAAGAGGGTACAAAGATGTCTGTCAATGCTCCAGCAATTTGTTTTCTTGCCTTCCACAATATTCTGGGATAGATCTGATCAGGACCCAGGGACTCAGCTACTTTAATACTTTTTATGACTCACAACACTTCTTCCTTTTTAATAGCAATTTGGCTTAGAAATTTGACACTCCCTTCCCTGAGATTATCCTCCTGCCATTCCTTCTCTTTGGTGAATACTGACATAAAGTTTAGAACCTCACCTACCTTTTCTGGCTCACATATAGATTCCGTCCTTTGTCCTTGAGTGGGCTAACCCTTTCCCTGGCTACCCACTTGCTTTTTATATATGTATAAGAAGCCTTGAGATTCTCCTTAATCCTGTTTGCTAACAACTTCTCATGACCCATTTTAGCCCTTTAATTCCTTGTTAAAGTTCTTTCCTACTTTCATTATATATTTCAAGGGCTTCGTCAGGCCCCATCCTCCCAGCCCTTGCGTATGCTTGCTTTTTCTTTTTGACCAAGGTCATAACATCCCTGGTTGTCCAAGGTTCACGCAACTTGCCATACTTATCCTTCATTCTCACAGGAACGTGCCGCTCCTGAATTCTTATCAAATGCCATTTGAAATACTCCATGTCCGATGTGGATTTACCCTCAAACAGCTGCCTCCAATCAAAATTCTCCAGCTCCTGCCTAATGCTGTGTACTTTGCCTTCCCCCCCAATTTAACACCTTCACCCAAACACTGCTGTTATCCCTTTCTATGAGTATCTTAAAATTTATGGTATTATGATCACTACTCCCAAAATGCTTCCCCGTTGAAACTTCACTCACCTGGCCGGGTTCATTTCCCAAAACCAGGTCCAGTATAACCCCTTCAGAGATAGTAAGAACTGTCGATGTTGGAGTCAGAGACAACACCGTGTGGAGCAGGAGGAACACAGCAGGCCAGGCAGCATCAGAGGAGCAGGAAAGTTGACGTTTCGGGTTGGGACCCTTCTTCAG